GGCAGTATCTAGGATGCTCTAGACAGCATCTTCAATGCTACAGGTAAAATGTCCTGGTAGTACTTGAAATGCAACGGGTAGCAAGTTCAAGTAGCTCGTGAAATGTTATCGGTAGCATATTTAGGTAGCCTCCGGAAACTTACGTGGAGTACATGGATTAGAATTACGAATAATGCTGAAACATTAGTCTTAATAGTTGATGTTGATGGTAATGCTAATTCTGAAGTGACATTCTAATACGTCCTTTTAAGTACTATCCAACAGACAGCTGTGTACACAGAGACGAGTATGGATCGCGGCTCTTCTCGGGGGGCGTTACGCACTGCAACACACCACGATGTAGATATAAGAGATCAATTATGCGAGTAAATGTTTTATTAATTTTTGGTTAATTAAATTCAACATTCAAGTTTTACATGTGTGATCGATTTTTTTTGAGTTTTGATTGGAAGTTTGAAAAGGGACGTAAAAATAATGATGTACAGACATGGACGTATAGAAAAGAATGTAGCTAAAAGGACATACATATATGAAGATGCATAGAAAAGGAAGTATACATAAGGATGCATATAAAAAGGACCAAAAATAAGGACATATAGAAAAAGACGTACAGAAAAAAGAATACTATGGCTATGGTATGATTATATTTAAGATTTAGTCGTATTATAGATTTCCCTCAGAAACGGCTTGCTGTTCTTTTATCAGCGTCTTCTGAAGAAATCATAAAGCTAATTATATAACTTTACATAGATTGAAAAGGATACATAGAAACGACGTAAATCTAAACGAACTAGGAGAGTTTCGACATTTTTTTATCGTTTCTCACTTAAACAATAAAGCAGATGGACTCGATATAGTCAATTTAGATCACTTTGAAATTGGAAAGCTCTTATAACTTTTGAAGGAAACAAGCTAAAGGCGTTGGCTGTGCATAGATCAAAAGAGAACAATTTAATCTATAGAATAGTCATATCAATGATATTGATATCGCTATACTTTTCTCATATCTTTCTTTTGAATACTGAAAACTAGAAGTCACTAGCTTTTGTTATTCTAAAGATATTTAAAAAACTCCTTGTTCGTTATCTTTTATTGACGATAGATTTTATCGAAAAGTAAAATCTTAGAGTATGCAGAAAAGTAGAGCGTAGAAGTTAGTTTAACATATGAAATCGGTACAATTTGTACAATTTACAATTTATAATAAATTTCAGTTGGATATACATCTTTAACTGAAAATTTCAGTAAAGTTGTGATTAACAATCACCAATAAATTCTGTACATGGTATCAAAATTTTTATTTTTGAAGACTAGTCTACAAAACACAAAAACTTAAGTACAGTTTATTGCTACACTCAAATTTTTGTTATTTCATTTTAATTATTACTTTCTAATACTCATATTATACTGTATAAAACAATGAAGGTCAGACTATAATTTCCCTTGAGACATCATAATGCTTTTTACAGACGTCTCTGAAGTTTATAAGTTAATCCATGATACTTCTTTTATTAATTCATTTACTTGCTGTTTTTTTAGATTTCCATCTAAATTATTGATTCGACGAACGACATAATTACTTTTATAAATAAGAATATCATATCTAGAAATTGAAAGTAATACAATTAATAATATTAAATCATGTTTATTCTTTTTTCTTCAATTAATCTATATTGATCTACGTATACATATATATATATATATATATATTTAATCAATTATTTATTAAGAAGTTCTTTCGACGAAAAAATAAAAACCTTTCGATGATAACAATATTTTATCTACAAATACATCATGATTTAATATATATACAATCAGTTTCTTTTCTTTATAGTTTTCTCTGCGGTCACAAAACACATACAATACGATTCAATAAACATAACGATTCACATACACATATATTTATTTATATCTATTTTTATATACATACATATTAGTCTATCTGATAAAGTAATTCATAACCTTTAATAGGTTGTACTTCATATAATACAAGTGAATCAAGAAAAAATTCTGGTATAACATAATATATTTTATTTTTTAAACCACTATATTTTTTAACAACCATTTTATCATCATCATCACAAAGTACAATTATTGTTGTATTTATATCTAATTGTTGTCGATTATGTTCTTGTATTAAAATAGCACCAGATAATTGTACAAGTTGTTCAAGTTCTTGTCGTGTAAACATTCCTTGTTGACATCCAATTGAACATTCAACAGCAATAGCATATGAATATGATTTAAATATAGGTTCATGAATTAAACGTGAACGATTCATACCATTATGTTGTGATGATAATGATGCATCACCAAGAATTTCATATGAATCTTCATTTAAAAGACTTTCTTTACTAAGACATTCTTCAATCCATTGATAACCAATAACATATTGATGATAAGCAACAGCAAAAAAAACTTTTTTTGTTAAACAACATACACGCTGTTCAACTTCACTTGCTATTAAATGTGTTGTTGTTTCATCGATTTGATTTGATAAACGAGCAGAAAAACGACTACAAAATAATTCAACTTGACACTATAACAAAGCAAAAATGTTCCCAAGAACAGAATTAGAAGAAAATAAAATACAATAAAATGAACATACTGTTTGTTGACGAGTTAGTGATGAGCAAACAAGTACTAATGTGCGTGATGATTTATGAGATTTTGATAGACTAAGATTTGAAGTCTATAAAATAAGAAATAGGAGAGAATGTTTATTGATGAAATTTTTAATGAATTTTACTAATGATTTTCTGTCAGTGATTTCTGAGTCTGAAATATCTATATCAGAATTTTGATAATTCGTAATAGAAACCTAAAAAAAGAATTTAATGTATAATATTAACACCAAAGTTAATTTTTGAATCGCTTTTTAAAATAAGACTTGCCATTAAATAGGTTTTATTAAAGCAAGAAAAATTTTTTATTACCTTCTAAGAATTAAGAATGCAATATAGCAGTTAGTAAACTACGAAAAATCAAAAAGAACAGATTGATAGCGTTAACTTCTTGTCTCATCTTTATCAAATCAAGAGTAATCTGATTTAAAAAGTGATTTATTATTCGTTTCTATGAAACTTTCAAAGCATTTAAACAATGTCAATAATCGCAGCAAGGTTTTTATCGTAGCTGAAAGCTGAAAAAGCAATGCTCCCCGGAGATCGACTTTAATTTTCCAAGCATTCGGGTTTATTACGCTCAAAAACTAAACAGTTATCTCTCTGAAAGAGAAAACATTAATTTTGAATGCAGTCATAGTATTTGTTAATACTGTTTGGTTTCAATAGATGTCTCTTTGGATATAGATTTTTTTGAAAATGAAAGATCAATATATATATATATATTTTTCCTGCGATATCATGTATTTAACTTGAATCTAAATCGTGGTTTGAATAGCGAATAAAAGTTTCTAGTAAACATACTTCATATCGAAATTTTATGGATGAAGTATGAGAGTAGGATTTCTGAAAAGCCAAATACGTAAGTTTTCAGATCTCAAAAAACTGTGAAAATTAATTTTTTTTATAGTACCATACTAAAAGAAAAATGACAAAAAGCGAAATCTTTCATACGATCCGTAAAAAAATACAAAGCATTTTTTTGTTTCTGGTAATTCTTATAATTTTCTAACGGAAGATCTGAGAAAATGTGATAACACTCCGTTTTAGTCAGGATGGCTATGCTCTTTAAGATGATACTCTTAACAGTTGGTTTTCATGCAGCCTTGTAAGACCTGGATTGAAATTTAAATACAAAATATTAATATGTCACATATAAAAACTCCAACAAATCTCTTCTATTGCCTCTTTCTTTGTTTTATATCGATCCATAAACAGATCGATCAACATCTTCGATTTGATCTAATTATAAAAATTCTAAAATAATCTGATCTATCTGTATTCTTTATTTCATTTCATTTACCTTTATTGAATCATTAAGCGAATCTAAAGAAAAAAGCAAAATAATAAAAGATAAAAGAATAAAGAAAAAACTTGTTCTTACTATTCGACTTAATACGTTTCGGTCGAGTTGATATAGATGTTCGTTTAATTGGACTAGCTTTTTTTTGTTTCGTTAATTTTATTTTTTCCGATTTTTCTTCTTGTTTAAATTTCTTATTTTTATTTTTTGCTTTATTTTCTTGTTGTTCACGAAAATGTATAAGACAAACGCCTTGAGACTTTTGATCACGCTTAAAACATTTTTCTATTTGACATAACTGTTGCCAACGGGCACCATCCCACATAACACGTTTACCACCAGCTGTCCATCGTACATAACCTTTTGCATAATGACCTGGTGATGACATATCTACAAAAAAAAACAGAAAAAACTACACAACTGAATCTAAATTATGAATTATTTTAATCAATGTTTTTATATAGATTTTCTTTTTCGAAGAGACAATTTAAAATTCCAAAAGAGAGTAAATAGTTACTATTGGAAGCATAGATGCATAGTATGTGGTACAATAGGCACAAACTCCAAGAGAACGAACATTATCTTCGGAGGGTGCCTACAATGAATAAAACTTCTGATTGTTTATTTTTTAAATTGATATTTTCATTTATGCATTCAATAGTATTTGTGTGTCAAAGTTCACTAAAAGTTTAAACTTATCATTATTAAAAGAGAAAACAAAATCTACAAGATTACTCTTCATATTTGTATCGTTTAATTTTTGATTAATTAATTTTTTTTGAACTTGTCGACTATGTAGAACTCATCTAGGTCATGTTATCATTATTTTATAATCGTTCGTAATTTTATTTTTTATTTTATTTAATTCTTCATGCAATTGATCTCGATTATCATTTGAATAAACATTTTTACTTTAATTATTGAAATAGAACTATAGTATACTATTGACTTTATATTTATCTAAAAATATAAACATATATTTTTTAGATTATTGGTAAAATTTTACACAGACAGATTATTCTCAAAATATCTCAAGCATGATAAATTCTGAATTGCATTTGAGAAGATGAATAATTCATGCCTGATCTGAACAGAATTCGATTAAAATCATTAAAAATATAAATAGACTATATAATTCCAATAGGACAAGGGCGGCCTAATAATTGATATATTTTTATTATGTATAGAGTATCGCAGGACCTTAAATTTTACAGATTTTAATAATGAAAATCTTTGTAATCTAGAAAATCAAACAGTTAAATAATTAATAACTTCATATAAGTATTCTCTATGTTGTGCTTATTATCATAGATATTGTGCGAGAAAATGGGTATTTTTCTATTACAAATGACTCACACTGTATTCGTATCTGGATACGGGATAGTATGCATGTGAACATTAAATTTAGATTTATTAATCTATCATTCATGGTCATATGAAATAGAACGGAAGAGATAAAAACGTGTCTTATTATGAAGCTAAGAATGATTAAAAAGAGAAAAAAAAACGCAAGACAACAATATTACATATTATTACGCTTCACTGAAAAAACAAAATAAATAACCGATTTCTTAATCTATATAATTATTAAACTATACCATGGAAAACAAAAAGTATTTTCAGTTAAACTGAAAATTATTAAATATGATATTATTTAATGAATTCATCTAAAGAAAATCAAAATATTGATTTCGAAACTAGTCAATAAGAAAAGAAATATTTTCATCATCGAAATAACTAATCATAAACGGAAAGAATGCTAGTAATCATTATATGAGAAAGTAAGGAACATGTTTTATATAAAAATTACTTCGTTATAAAATAATTCTCTAATTCTATGCTCCTCTGACAAATGACAGAACGTGATTAGAACACGAGCTAAGTGCCTATAATTTGTTTTAGATAACAAACCATTCATATATGCTTTTTTTTTTAAATGACGACATAAATAATTAACCATTATTTTCAAGAACTGTTTGATTATCACATATAAAAATGATAGAAAATTTTCATCAAAAATTTATATCTAGAAAAAAAAATTATTTCTTAAAATTCTTTTCTCAAATTGTTTTATCATGAAATTACTATTTAATTATCCATACATATATAAATATAAATATGAGAAACAAAGATTATTAGATATCATACTAAGAATATTTTCACATCGTTGAAAAATAGCATAATATAGAGAAATTTTTATTAAAAATAAATCTGAATCATCAATTGAATAAAGATATTTAAGTTTTTCCATAAATTGTTGTTTTTAATCTGAATATTTTAATTCTCTTATATATATTTGTGTATTACGATCAAATGATTCACTATCAAATTTAACATTCGATGTTTAACTTTGAGAATATTTTAATATGGATAATTGTTTATGAGATTTTATTTGTTGAGAATGTTGATGATATGATAAATGACATGATAATTGACTTATTTCATTATTTATTGTTCTTAAATGAGTACAATGATATTCATTTGATGATGATGATGATATTTGAGATTTATTTGCATTTTCTTTTGAAGATACTATTGAATTACTCTTATCACTAAATAACTAGAAGAAAAAAAGCTTAATTTATGAAATCATTTATAGATTAAGATAAATGTTTTTTGAATAGAAACAAAATTTATACTTAAGATTGTACAGTTGATTTACATTGAAAATAATTTCTCATTGTTTCGGTCGAAGATATTTAAAATTTTTATTATATACCTTTTAATATTCGAGAATGAACTATTTTGTACACAATAGTTTTTGCATAGAAAAATTTGAGTCTCAAAAAAAAATGAAAGTTCAATGATTAATTTTGTTCGACTTTGATATTTCAATGATGAAAAATAATATACCAAAGGTACTCTACAGACTAACTCAAATATAATTTTCAACAAGAACACAGAAAAGAGTAATAATCAAAGCAATTAAATTTACATCAAGAATACGTATTGTTCGTCGTTGAATAGGAATTATTTTGATCGAACAATATTTAATTTTTCATGTTGACTTAAACGTTTCGGTATAAATTGTCTTTCATTAATATTTTCAGTTAGTGGTTCACGTGGACAATTCAAAGAAAACTAAATAACTAGAAAATAAATTGAAAAATAATACTTTTACATAAAGTCGAATATATTTATATACCCATATTCCAAATAGTACATCAATATTTTTTGAAAGAATTTCATCAACTTCTGTTTGCTTAGAAAAAACTAATCAACAAAAGAAACAAGACTCATAAAATATTATCGAAAATAAAAAAAATATTTACTAAGTCCAGTTCCTGTATAACCAATACGTTGTCTTTCTTCAATTAAATATTGATAATCATAATCAGGATGACTAAAATAAAAACTTCAAAATATGGTTAATTAATAAAATGAAGTCGTACTCGTATGCTTATTTTATTGAATAACTAATTCGTAAAACATTTTCATCATTATTAGATTGCTTGCTATGAACGCATAAAAATTCTCGAATTCCCATTTGTATAAATATTATCTTACTGAACATTTGATTGGCAAGTAGCGCCAATCGATGTTCGATATGCTGGTGATGGCATTGGTGTATGAGCTTGATTGCGTGGAAAAAATGATCTACAATTTTAATTTTTCAAATAATATTTTATTCAAAAACCAAAAATAAACGTGAATTATTTACGGTCAACATTGCATATGTAGATCATTTTTAGCAATTATTCGTTAAACTAAAAACATATAAAAAAATTAAATATACAAAAGAAATATAATTTCATTTATATTTCCTTCATTTGATTAAATGTTTGACTAAAATAAAGAATAAATTAAATAAAAAGAATTTTTCTTACTTTACTGTTCGTTGAATGAATTGAATATTGTCGTTTTGATGAATGTATTGGTGGTCTTGGATCACTGAAATAAATAAAAAATTTAATTTAAGAAAACCTTAGTTTTCTTTTATCATGATAAATTTACCTAGAACGAATAGTTGTTGACGGACGAAGCATTTTTCAAAGAATATACAAACGATTCCAAATCGAAACAAAGGTCTTTGTCTCGTACTGAATATCGCGGGAATAAAACGAAGAAAAACTTCTTTTAAACATTCGTTTCTTTTCCAAATAAATAATACTTATCCATTATATTTAATTTCAGTAAAAATACTGTATAATTTTATTGAATAGATGTCACTTCAAAAAGAGAAATATATTTTTTAGAGGTAATGTCAAGCAACATAATAGATAGATTTGTTGAATAAACTAAAATCTTATTATTATTATAAACAAATCGAAATGTCTCAATCAATTGATTTTCGTATAAATGATTTTATAACTGAATATCTTGATTATAAAGGTTTCAATGATACCGTTGGAATATTTTTAAAAGAACGAAAAACTCGTCAAGAACCCATACAATCACTAACAAATGGAAATCATTTACAAGATATCGATCAAGAAAAATGTCAAATTATTAAAGTATTTATTATTTGCATTTACGAAAACGACAACAAAAGGAATAATTTATTATTTTTTTTAGGATGAAATGTTAAAATATTTTGATGATGGAAATCGAGAAGAATTTTTTCGTCTTTGGTTAAAACATATACCATCGAATGTTATCGATAGTGATCCATCATTAAAATCACTTGAATTTTTACTTTATGCTCATTTTGCTATTTATTATTTACGTTCAAATAATCGAATTAAAGTATTTCATCTTATATTATTTATTTTTTATTTATTGAAATCATAATTATTTAGAATGAACAAGCAGCAAAAGAAAATATGCAAGAATTTAAAACATACATGGAATCAATTAAAGGACAAGCCATATCACAAACAAGTGAAATATTACCTTTATTTGCATTACCATTTGTTACATCACCAGATAAACATTCATCTTTTCAAGAATTATTCTCAGTTAGTTGGTTTTGAATTTTTGAATTTTCGATTATTTTGTTTTTATAGAATGAATGGCCAGTACAAATACGTAAGAAAGTTTCGAATTTTTTTGATTGGATTTTTTCTAATCGACCATTACCACGTCTTCTTGAATTATTACAAAATGGTGAACGTGCATCCCATATATTAACACAAATAAATAATGAAAATGAAGAACTTAAACATCGAAATAGAGAAACAAATAAACAAATCAAACATTTAAGTACTGATTATTGTAATTTAATTAGTAAGTTGATTTGAAAAAGAAAAGATTATTTTATATTTTCATATTTTATTTATTTTATTAGGTATAACAATGGAATTAGTTGAAACATTACAACAAGCTATTGTAGGAAAAACGATTACTAATGAATATATCGATAATGTATGTGCACGACTTGGTGTTGCTAGATTACGTGAATCAATGGCTAATGCGATGGAATCAGCTCGTCTTGGGTAATAAGAATATAGATGATAGTTTCGCGAGTTATTGAAAATTTTTCCAATGATCAAACGATATAGAATTTCTTGAAGAATATTCGACAGAACTTGAGATGAGTTTCGAAAGCTTTCTACAATGAGGATGACTCGAAATACAATGACACAACATCATTGAAGACGTTACAAAGATCTATGCATACAGTTCCAATTCAGGAGCTTCAAACAGTGATTTCTACTTGATTTTCTTGAATTTTCCATTTCTGGACAGTGAATAAATCTCATTGTTTCTTTTTTTTTATGTATAGAATTGATGATCCATTTACGGAAAAATTTGATTATGATAAAATAAAACGCGATGTTGTTCATATGTCAACTAGTCCACGTCAAAAATCACTTTTACTTCAAGCTTTACGTTGGAAATTAACAAAAGCTACAACAGATTTTAATCGTGAGAAAATGCTTGATTGTTATATTAGTTGTGATTTACTTGGTTGTCGTGCTGATATGGAACAACGAACAAAAATTATAAAAGAATTATCAACAACGTCATCGACTGTAGATACACGTTTTGTTAAAGAAGAATGGGCACGTTTAATTAATACAATTGCTTCATTAAGAAAAGGTGAACAAGAAAATGCATTAGTTTAAAATACATCTGTTTTTCTCTTTTATATATATAAAATTAAAGGTCGAAATTATTTGGCACCAAATGAGCAATTGATTATCAGTATGCAAAAAGCAGCTATTGCAGAACAATCAGATACACTTACGAAACAGCATCTTTTAGCAGCATTACAAAAGCTGAGTCTCAGGTATAGAAAAATTTATTTCATGTAAAAACACAAATAGCAAAATGATTGTAACTTTTCGCAAAGTGTTAATATTTTTTATTTAATTGAAGACAAATTCACTACAAAGATAGTTTCCTGATGATATGTATAATGCTAAAATCTATAATTGATCGCTCCTAATAGTCGTGAGACATAATCATTGTTAGAAACTCGAATAGATGTTGCTAATTGACACATTAAGAAACTTGAAAAAGACGTGCTGAATTTTAATAAAGGTATTATTCATTAATTAAGATGTTCTTTTTTTTTCGAACTCTAATATATCAATTAAATGATAAATGAACATCGAAAAATCTGTTTTTTTTTTTCGTTAAATTTTTAGACGATCTGTTCAAACTATAATGATCAATGAAAATATGATTAAATGGCTTGTACCATTATTAAGTAAATCAAATGGTTTATCTGATTATACTTTAGGTAAAATAATATCTTCGCTTAAAAAAAAATTAAAATAATATATATTATTTTAATCTCTAATATTTTTAGAATATGGTGTAGCTTTATTAATGAATTTATGCTTACGTACCGAAGGTCGTAGAAAATGTGCTGAAATAGCTGAACAAGCTATAACTGTTCTTGCGTCTCTATTAACTCATCCAAATCATGAAGTATTTTTTTACGATATAGAAATGTTATATTAGTTAATTACTTTCTATATATATATATATAGATTCGACCATATGTTAATTCATCATTATATTCAATTTTAACACTGAAATCTGTACGTGACAAAGCTATTCAACTAGTAAGTAATTATTCTAAACGATGAATTAACACAAAAATATTTCTAATTGATAATAGAATCTTGAAAATCGTCTTCGAACATTAATTCGAACTGAAACAACAAACTCCGAAACAAAAGGTCAATTAGAATTTTTACTTAATCTTCTATGTAAAAATGTTGATCAAATTATCGATCAATCATCTGATACTGAACAAGATAATGATGATGTAAATAAAATATTTACTTTAAAGAAAAAATATTTGTTTCATTCATTTTAAAAAAATAATTTTTTTCTTTATTCTTTCTAGGAAGATCAAGATGTAATGGAAGCTGATTTAGATCTTGCTGATAAATTACATGCAATCGATCACGAATTAAGTGGAGATGATTTAATGCTTAAAAGATATGCATTACAAAAACCCATAACAAATACTCAAAAATCTTATAATAATACATTATATGCATCATCAATAAATGATTTTAAAAGTAGAACATCAATTGATCCTGTTCTTCATCGACCAACAACACCTGGTCAATTACGTCAGTCTACTGTTGCACATACAGTTGATTCTCTTGCCAATAGTCTTGCTGTTGGTGATATATTTCATAGTCAAATTAATGGATTTGAACAATTTAATGGTACTAATACTATATTTGCAGCATCAACATCAATGTCAATAAAAAAACCTTTATCAGCAAGTGTTATTTCAACAGCAACAGTTAAAAGTAATAATACAAAATTTTCTAAAACATCATCATCATCAATAACAAGACCAAAATCAGCAAATCGTATGTCATCAATGGATCAACAAAAACAACTAACACCTGTTCTTGCATTTGGTACAAATGATGAACTTGATCGTTCTATACCAACAATAACACCACCAAAAGTGACACCACCTATGAAATTTTCTTTTAGTGAACCACCAAGATCAAATTCAAGTGCATCTATACGTTCATCATCATCTTCAATACTTGAATTAAGTAATGCAAATCTAAATAATCAAAAAACAAAAAAACTTTAGATTTTTGTTTTTTTTTCTTTATATCTATTGTTTTATTGTTGTTTTCTTCTGTTTTTTTTTATTGTTGTATGAAAACACATCTATTTCTTTTTAAAAGAGAAAACAAACCTATTTAATGAGCATATAATTTCATTCAGAAGCAAAAAACAATGCATTCATTCTTTAGCTTTCTTTGTATGTATCTCTTATTGTTGTGTGTGTAACTCTAATTGTTTCTTATATACTAATTTTTTTTTTACTTCATACAGACAGTTATATTACAGAAAAAAGAAAAAAACATCGTGAACTAATTTTTTTAATATAATATACTTGTTTATAATTAAGTTGTTTGTTGGTGAAGAATATCAAAGTAATGAAAAGCCATTGATTTATAAAGATGAATTCAGTTTTCAGTTCTAACCGAGAGTTAACTATTTGACTTCTTTTTTTTATAATAAACTAATAAAATCTAAATATCTATAGAGAAATATTTTGTACTATTAGATGTTGTACGAATCTATCGACTTCATATTTTGTTTTACTCAAAGCCTAGCTTGTTAGAGCAATCAATTTGGATCTGAAATGTGGACGGCATATGCCTTTCGCTCGATGCTTCTTTTTGTGTAATTCACATATTTGACGGAAAAAAATAGTGAATGTAAGTTATAAGACACGGCTTACCGACTCTTCTCCGTAGCATAGCAACTTCAATCAATGGGTGACAGTGAGAATATGAATCAATGATTTTTACGTCGTTGACAGTCGTAGAAACACTGGCAAAGACATCGACAATGGGCTCTAGCAACTGGGATCAAACGCTATTGGGAACGTTTTCATAGCGACTGTAGCTGGCAGGCACCAGAAATCTTTTCTATAACTCCTTACCAGGGAAATAAAGCACTGAATGCCCTGAGCTCATTTCGAAAGCTTCCTTGAAAATTAAATGTGGTCACAATGGTTAGAGGAATAATTATCATAACAGACGTTTAAGAAAAGTGAGACAAAACAATAACATTTGTGTTCCACATTTCAGCTTCATAAAAGCTGTGCTGACAAGCTTTTTTATTTCATTTTTCATAATTTATTATTAGGATCATATTGCATACTATTAATTTAACTAACAAATAAGTCTGTTGTACGTAATCCTTATATCTTCAAGTAGGTCTTTAATCTGCTATTATCTATCTCGAAAAGCTCACAAACACTAATATTGATTACCCTAAAAAGTTAAAACTTGTTCAGTTCACACTTTTATATTGATCTTTTGACGACTACGGCTATCAATACATTACTGATCATTATCTTTGATATGTATCGTATAATCGTTTATCTGAGCAAAGGTGAGAAAATACGTTATTTAGAACATTAACAATTGTATTGCAGTCATTTAAATTTCTAGAAACATTTTGGAATATTCTCGAACCATCCAAGCCTCTTTGTTAGCACCTTTTTCTGTTGCTAAGGTTTTTCGGTAGACCATTCTGGTGCTCATATATTTCGGTTGATATGAAATTGAAATCAGTGATTAAAAGGATCTCTTTCATTATCGGTGTGTACATAAACGACGAATCCAATCGATCAAAGTATAGCTTACTGCTTGCGTCATAGGTTGTCATATTTCACTTTCTTTCTATGCTTTCTAGAAGTTTTTACTTTCTTTTTTCTTATGTTGCCACAAATAGAGTGGAAGCCAAAAGTTTCGTGCCTCTTTTTTGTTTTGGTTCGTATTTCAAAAATACACAATATAAATTCAATTTTCTTTTTATCTTCGGATAGCGAAGCTCGAGTACTATATGCATGTATCTGTTTGAAATGAATAATCATTGCATCTGAAATACAAGAAAAAAAAACAAACTTCAATACTAAGACAAAAACTAGACAAAAAAAAATGATAAGCTGATATGACTGTTATGATTTTGAGTAAGATGCCAGTAATGCGAAAATCGAATACGATTTTGTTGGATATTTTTACATCAGCCGATAGATCTTGACGAGCTCTACAAAACTGTCTATATTAAAATTTTTTAGAACCCTTTTCTGGGACAAAAAAAATTACAAAATAATTGCATGTTCTATTTGTTCTATATGAAAAGTCGAGATTTTTTTATATCAGAAAAGTATCAAAATACGATTTTCTCGTAATTTATGGTCCCAAAAAAGGATTCTAAAAATTTTTAATATAGACAGTTTTGTAGATCTCATTGAGATCTATCAATCCATGTAAAAATATTAAACAAAATCTTACTCGATTTTTGTATTACTTCAACCTTAGTGGAACTTCTGAAACTAAAAACAACTATACCATTTTGTCTTTTTGTTTTGGTAGTTTTTGTCGTAGTATTAAAGTTTGTTTTTTCCTGTGTTTCCGATTCAAGAGTTATTCATTTCAAACATATACATACAAATAGTACTTGAGTTTCGCTATCCGAAGATAAAAAGAAAATTGAATCTATGTCGTGTATTTTTGAAATACGAACCGAAACAAAAAGTGGCGCTAGACTTTTGACGTTCACTGTAGTTCGATCGATTGAGATTACTTGACATGTTATCGTATCATCACAACAACGATTGTAGACTACAACTTCTGATCTTACTCTACAGTATACTTTGCATATCCTTTTTTATGAATTCGAAAATAGATGACAAGCTGATATTTCGACGAACTGTATTGTAAGAGTCGGAATGGATAGATAGCACATCATAAAATCAACGCTAAGGTTTGTCAGATTAGTTCTATCTTCTATAATGACTACCTACCAAGATCAGTGAAATGTCGGCGATAATCTCACGAAGATTATGTTTGCTCATGAGAGTGACACTGCACTACTCTTTTTGCTACTACGTTTCCCTGCATCCTATCAAGATGAATAAACAAGTGCTGTAATTTCATATATGCTGTTTAAGAGAATAGAGATTACAGATAATATTTGACTGATGCGCGTTGAAATGTCAAATACTAGTCTACAAAAATAGATAAATAAACAAATTGGGTTATCTGTCACTGTCGCCAACGACATGCAATAACTCTTTATTTGAATTCTCACGTTCTCCATGCCCAACAACCTTCATCCGAAGGATGAATGTGGGGTCAGAGCGAATGTCATGTACGCATGCAGCAGGAGATAAAATTCTCACAGCCAACTGCCATCCACATCTGCATCCACCTTCATACCCATCTCTCAATAAAACAGATCATTGAGAAGTTCAACTATCCGCTCATGTATCCCTGATCATAAAAACAACACTTTCAAATGGTTACATCTTTGCAAGAATACATTAGTTTTTTTTTGTCTTCTCTTAGGATTTTCTTTGTGATTGGTAAGAGAATGTAGTACTTTGATATTTTAGTCACAAGATTAAAAAAAAATAGTTGACAATCACAGTTCTAATTTATCTTCTACCAAAAACCATTTTGGGATTATTTTCTGAAACAATGAATATCCAGCTTGCCTAATTATTTCATATATTTTTTTAGAGATCTGAAAAGTATGACCAACTGATAAAAATAGAGAACGATAATTTAGAATATATGTCTATAATGTTGAAAAATGAAATAGAAGCAAAGTCAATTAGAACATTTGTCTATTAGAATGTCATAGAAAATAGATCAAGATCTTCGACAGAGTCGTCTAATCCATGACTGTATTGTTTTATCTAATTCACTTCTATAAATTTTCGATGGTAAAACAAACACGAACAATGTTAACATTGATGGTATAAAAGATACAAAGTAACCAATCAAATATAACCAATGTTAACGTGATGATCTTATACATCCCAATGTGAATGAAATAATAAGACGCAGCAAACCTAATAATGCCAAAATACTAGATGTAAAAATAATGTGTTTGTGTTGTTTAAGTTTTGATTGCAAATATGGCTTGAATGATTGTTTCGATTCTACTTTAAAACAGCTACTAGCTGGTACTATAATAAGAACTAAAGCAGCTATTAGATTGATTGAAAAAAGAACAAGAAAATAGAAGTGAGAGATAAATATATTGTATTTAGTTAGTGAAGATGAATATTGAGATAAACACTATATTCGTTGTTGATCTTCACCTAAATTATTCATTAATTGTCGATGAAGTGAATCATGAATATGTGTAAGTATGGTTGAAATAATTACAACAAAAATCACTCGTTTAGCTATTGTGTTACTCTTTTTCTTCTTAAATGTCACGCCTTTGATAATACTGAACATGCTTTCAATGGCTACACAAGCATTAAACCATTCACTTGATGCTAAACAAAATTTGAGTATTATTTCAAGTAAATGTACAATTAATAAAGAGTATTGATCTGCTAGTTAGGATTAACATTTGTGAAAGAACAAGTTGCCAAAATTTAATTGCTAATACAATAATCATACAGATTGAACTAATCGATGATACTAGAAGATAATAATCACAATCAGCTTCTCTTAGTTCTTTCACATTGAAATGTTGCTATAGAGAATGAGTTCATGATTAATTCTTAAATCAACATAATTATAGTAATAATCATGCTGAATTTGATAATAAATGGTTGTCTATAAAGTGAAATACTTGGTTTAATATGATATCCAAGAATTGGATCAAGTGAGAAAGTGAAATCTTTTGTTGAAAATTGATATTACATTCTATAGTAACAATCATTACATACACAAATAAATGTTGTTGGACGGGTTTCATTGGTTCGAAAACATGAATCATCATTATAACAAAGATTTTTTTCACTACAATCATATTTCATCGTATGATTAAATTGGAAACAATTGAAAAATCGATCACTATCACATATACACATATAGTATTTATCATAAAAGTATATCAATTGTGAATGTTGACAACATAAAAGTGGATAATACTTCATCTGATGTGTAATATTCATATCGACGAAAAGTATCATTAAAAAGATCAAGAACTGGATAACAACGATTTTTTGGTAATACTTGAGTATGAATATATTCAGATGGTATATTTCTTTCTCTTAATACAGTTAGATAATAATCACCATTGGGTATTTGTATGAAAAGAATGTTAAATGATTGTTCTGTATAAATGGTCATAGTAGTATGTCCGATGGGAAACTTTTTTAGCGCAGATATTCGTTCATGTTTTGCATATTTGTCAAATGCTGTTATGTAAGGTAGAATGAATGATGAATTTATTGTTAGTGTTGTTTCATCTATACGAATATCAATTTGATTACTTTTATGTTGACATCGTTCACCTTGATAGGCTTCTTTACAAACATAGATAAAGCCATGCAAATTAATACAATCATCAGTTGCTATACAAAGTCCATTGTGTTGACATGGATTGTTTCTTGATTGACATATTGATCTGTTCAAATAACAACGTGAGCCGAACTTGTTCAAAGAACACACACAAATAGATGAAGTCCGACAGAATGAGTCATTTGAACATTGACATTGATGTGTAAGATTACAGAAGGTACCAAAATATCGTTGATCACATCGACAAAAAACTGAATTGTTCATGTTTGTATATTTCATACATCGACCATGTTCTCCACATGATAAAGTGCATTGTTCATTTTCTTGTATTCCAGAAATGATTAGTTGAGTCGATATTCGATTAACAGGAAGAAACTGAAATGGAATTGACAAATACCCACTCGTCCAATAATTTAATGTTGATTTATGAAAAAGATCAATACGAATAGAATAATTTGTTGATGAATGTTTGGGACTATGTGGATAAAGTAGATAGATATTAAGTTTTATATTACAATCATGAGCAGGCATATATGTTATTTGTTCATGATTTGGTACAATGTTTCGTTGGTCATCAATGAGCATGATGATTCATTGAAAAATAACTGGAGGTGAAAGAATACTGTGTGTTTTAAATTGCAAAGTTAAACTAACATATTGATTTTGCCACTGACCTTAAGAACTAAAAGAATTGGGTGGACAGAGACATGCTTTTGCTCGATTAACACCCTTGAATAGAATGAGAATATCATAATGGCAATGTCAAGCAAGTGCAGCATCCACCTTGGGTGTATTATCTTTCTGTTGATATTAGTCGGCGAAGTTTTGAACAGAAGTTGTTGATGGAAAATAGCTAAGCCGTGAAAGGGTCAAAAAGTGTTCAGTGGAAGAATTGTTTATGTTCTTGTTAGGTTGAAGACGGCATAAGTATGTATTTTCATTATTGCTTTTGCAAATTTTACTACTAACGAGGGAGGTACCCGAAGTGATTAATCGGTTTTGAGTTCGAACTCTGTGCATAAGATAGATCCCAGTAAGATATGAAAAACCCCAAAAAAGATAAGGGCCCATAGGCCTTTCGTTCAGAGTTATAGCCATTTTACTGGAATTTTCGCCTATAGCATAGTATACGCTAACAAATCGAATGACGATATTTCGATCTGAAGTTTCGTCTACGAATAGGTCTACTTGTAACTAACGTGCTCTGAAAATTCCAGCTAAAAGATATGTTTTCTTCACGAGATATTGAACCTTGAAAAATACAGGAGCCTCTCACATCTTTCATGAAATATGATTGATTTTTGGAGATTTGATATCTCATGAAGAAAACATATCTTTTAGCTGAAAATTTCAGGGCATTCTAGTTACAAGTAGACCTATCTGTAGGNAATGAAAAGCAAATTAATTTAACATAAATTTCTATATTATTCAATTTAAAAGCATTACAATTTCGAATATCCGATATAAAAACAGCTAAACCACGCATTGCATCGCCCCGCATTGTTGGCATCTTGAATAAATTTTAATGAATGAAATCTTATAAAGCTAAAAAAACAAACAAAGAGAGAATGAATATTTATTGTCGTATGATTGGTTACGATTACAGTGACATCATTTGTTTCTGAGTGGTGGTTCATCCTATTTTTTTCTAGATTCAGATGCATTCAGTTCTATGCAATAAGAAGAAAACCATGTCAACAAGTTCATTTTCGTGAAACACTAAAATAAGAAACTATTCTTGAAGAATTTAAAAAAATATGAAAACGAAGAATCTTTTTACATGATCATTATTATCATAAACTGATGTTGTTAAAAATAATATACAAATATTAATTTCTTGCCAAAATAATCAGAAACTTTAAATAATGCATTATTGTAATATTAGAAATAATCATATTTTTATAGAATAAATTTTATTTTTAGATAACATGAGATCCTCTTTAATTCTTTTTAAACGCTTTCAAACTATACTTCATTATCGTTTCGCATCATCATATGCAGTTCATGAACTACAAGCTGAACAATATGGTGTTCCCGGTGAAGTTCTTAAACTTAATAATACAACAACAATTGATGCAAGTCAATTAAAACCTAATGATGTATTAATTAAATTATTAGCTTCACCCATAAATCCAGCCGATTTAAATATGGTTGAAGGAAAATATGCATTACTTCCATCATCATTACCAGCAACATTTGGTAATGAAGGTGTTTTTCAAGTTATTGATCATCGAGCAGCGGTTGAACAACTTCGTTCAGGTGATTGGGTTATACCTAAAGTACTTGAATGGGGTAAATGGCGTTCATATGGAATTGTATCAATAAATGATTTAATTAAAATTCCATCGGACATTGCAGTTGAATCAGCTGCAACATTAACAGTTAATCCATGTACAGCATATCGATTATTAAAAGATTTTGTTACATTAGAAAAAGGTGATACAGTTATACAAAATGCTGGAAATTCAAGTGTTGGACAAGCTGTTATACAATTGGGTAAATTATGGAATATTAATGTTGTTAATATTGTAAGAAATCGTCCAGAAGGTATAAATGAATTAGTTGATTATTTAAAATCAATTGGTGCTGAACATATTTATGTTGAAGAAGATTTACGAAAAGGTTTGTTTAAAATGTTAAAAAAAATATATTTTTAAAGATTTCTTTCTTTTTCTTTTTTTGATAAACTTAGAAATACTTCGTAAAACCCTTTGGTCGACTATACCTCGACCAAAACTTGGTCTTAATTGTGTTGGTGGAAAAGCTACAAGTGATCTTCTTCGTGTACTTGATAAATCAGCTACATTAGTTACATATGGTGGTATGAGTAAACAACCAGTAACTGTTCCCACAGCAGAATTTATATTTAATGATCTTATTTGTCGTGGTTTTTGGATGAGTCGATGGAAATCTGAAAATTATACCGGAAGTGAGTTTGCAACAATGCTTCATGAATTAATTGATTTTATTCGACGTGATCAACTTAAACCACCACAATGTCAAAAATTTTTATTAAACGATTATAAAGCAGCTATTGAACAAGCACAAAAACCAATGAATACGAAAAAAATTCTTTTTACAGTTGAATAAATTTTCTTTTCCTTTTTTTTTTGTGTTTGGCGTTAGATTTTTAGTGCTCAATCATTTTTTTATTGCAATACAAAAGATAGCATCTTATTGTAAATATAAGATGAATGGTTATCTTAAAGATCTGAACAAAATAGAGAAAATCATTTGTATAGGTAAAATAGTCGTTTAATAATGATTCAGTATTGTAAAGTTTTTTCATCGAACATTTTGATAGAGTGAAAGATCTATTTGCCAAACATCTGAGAACATTGTCTTATTGTATATTTAATAAATTTATCAGAAATTATAACATTAGAATAGTCAGATTTCAATACGTATGAATTTATTTAAAATATTAATAGTTATGGAACTGAAGAAATCTTGATTATTTTTGTTCTATCAAAAGCATATCAAATTATTGTATATGTATGCAATAAATAATATTAAGAGATTAAGTATATAAGAATGAAGTACAAAACGAAAACAATATGATACATTTGAAGATTTAGAATCTATGAATTAAATGAATCTTATCACTACTATTATATTAACTAGTCAAAAACAAAAATTGTCTTTTACAAAATATCGAAATTCGAGCTAGTAGTAGATAATATACAGATAGTAATACAGTTGCGATAACGAACTTCATTCTTTGTTGCTACTATTCTATACTTTAATAGTCATAAGAACTAGTGCTATATTCGAGATGTCTTTAACATCAACAATAGTATCATTCATGACAATATGAATTGTAGCATAGTGACTCGCAAAATTATTTGATCATGTTTGTTTTCCATTTTTTCCACTAACGTAAATACTAATAAGAATCTAAATAGTGATTTCATTAGAGAATTTGATTTCCAACTAGAATTTTCGAAGTTGAATGTGATTACTAGTTTTCTAAGGATAACAATTTTTGAAAAACTCTAAAACTAATGTATTTTAGCGCATAGAACTTGAAAATAGAATTTTGTTTAAACCATCAAGAATGCCAAAAGAAATGGTTTTCCACAAAGGGAAACATCTTTCAGTGCCTTTACGGCATTATTTGACCTAGGGTGTGAAGGTAAAGAGAAGATCTACAAGCACACTCTATTACATTTGTACGCTGTAAGTATTGAGAATAATAAGATTTTCATCACAATGCTGTCAATAAACAATGAATATGTTTCAATGCTAATAGGTTCTTATTTTTTCGAGCATATATGTTTTCAAATAGTTTATTTAAATTTCAAACACAACTACAAATCATATGAAAAGATTATTAATTCAATCATCATTTTATTTATAATATATAAATCAATGAACATTAACAGACTACAATATATTCTATTATTGAAAAAGAAAAACAAAGAAAACTCAAATAAATTTCTGAAATTTCAAAAAAATCAAATCATTTTTCATTTTGCAATTCTATCTAATCGAGACGATGATGAATTAGCTCGTTTAAGTGATTGACGTTTATTATAAAACCATACCTAAAAAGTCATTTATATTTATATACATTAGAAGATCAATCATAGAAAAGTGCAAAACTAACTTGAATAATATAACGTGGATAAGCAAGTTTTTCTGATAAAATTGATATATCTGATCGTGATGGCATAGGATTTCTTTCAAAAAATAAATTTAATATTTCAAGATCACCATTAGAAAATTTAGTACGTTTTCGACTATTTCGTGCTTTTGTTTTATTATTATGATTTCCATTTGAACGAACTTTTTTCCAATTCGTATTATTCGATGATGCTATTGTAACAGGCAATGTAGTCCATTGATAATTAACATCACAATTCGGTGAACTATTACTTGAATTATTTAAATATGATGTTAATTGTTCATTATGTATAAATAAATTTGGATCATCAATTGTTGAAGATGAATATTCACAAATTGAATCATAATATGATGGACTGGAGAATTTTTGAATAAAAAAAAAAAGAAACAGAAAACAATATTCTATTTGATAATTATATTAAAATTTTACCTTCGACGAAAATAATATTCCGTATTTGGTGGCTGATTTGATGTTATTTCATCAAAATCATCCGTTGATATCATTGATGTTGATTTATCCACATGACTTTGTAAAACCTAATTAATTTTTTTTTTTGTCTTTTTTCTATGGAAATTAATAGAAATTTAAGTTCCTTTTACCGGACAAGGAATTGAATATTCAGATAAATTTTCGACGATATGAATAAAATTTTCAGATGTTAAATGATCAATTAGACCTTCAGATGAAGATATTATACTATTCATTTGAGGTTGAACTGATTCATAATAATGAACTAAACGATAGAAATATATCGAACGATATACAAACAAAATTGCAAATATACATAATTCACTTGGACTTGGAGCAAGAATATATTTTCCTGATGGTAATGGTATCTGAAATATTCATCATTAATGATCATGAGAATAAATATAGAATGGTGTTCAATATTGATCATAGACTTAATCGAGCACCTTGGTTTTTTTTAATGTCTCAAGATAGTTTTAACATTTAAAATTGTGATTTTCGTCAAAATTTAGCCCTGTTTTATTAATTTATCTACTAAAAATATTAACTCTCTCAGTCATATATTTCCTGTACCAGACTAGAAATACTAAAACTGATGTACTGCGATATTGCTGAAAAATTAATCCTACATCATAAGCAAAAATGACTGAATTTTATGCTGTGTATTTTGTCCTTTTCAATAGAAAGACATATTTAAAAAACGTTTCACTTGATTTTTAGTCAAAACATTGTAAAAAATGCAAATTCTCGTTTAAAAGAGTCCAATACGAGATTTTTTATTGTATATTTGTCTTTGTATTGTCAAGTGTAGTGTACGACCCATTTTGAGCGATATCGAAATAGATCATTTTTAGTATTTCTAGTATGACATAGGAAATATTGGACATAGTGAGCTATTAATCTGAGCAGATAAATTATGAAAACATGACTACATTTTGGAGAAAATTACAACGCTATATATTGAAATCATCTTGAAATATGAGAAAAACAAAGCAATCAATTAGGCGCATGATCAATTTTGAGCGCCACTATATATTTTTTAATATCATTTATTTCTATTTAGATAATAAACGAACAACCTACTTCTAATGGACTCTGTTGTATAGCAAATGTTTCAGGTAAACTAAGAATATGTGATGGTTCATCTTGAAGAAAAATTAAAAAGTTAAGAAATAATTTATTTCTTATTTATAATTAATACCTGCAGAAAGTGCTGGAATTAAGAAATGAATAGTTCGATCAACAATCGGTTCTTCTTTAATAATAATATCTTCTATATATATATATATATATAAGACATGTTAAACAATTGAATACAATATCTCACCCGATGACATTGATTACTAAATTTTTAAATTGAAAAGAATATTTTAATATTTATAAATATTCAAAAAAAAAACAAATTGAAAACTGAGTAAGATCATAGATAATAGATAGAAATGTTCGAAGTCTGTGTTTCTAATTGTGTTATGAAAGATATAAAGAAGCCTTCTCGTATATTCCGTCGACGCGCGGTTTTGTTCGCTCTTTCTCTCTCTCTGTTTTGTTCATGCAGTCAGATGATTTTGATGATATGACACAAATGAATCATTAAATAGCACATGTTATTAAACATAATATAGACAGATGATTATAGAGGAAAAAGAACTTTAAACACTCTTGATAATGTGATTCGTTGTGAAACATTCATTTGATTTTTGAAATATGTTTAAATATGTTCTTGTTAATGAAATATAGAGGAAATTTTTATTTTTATTTCGTGTTACACTGTTTCAAAGCGAATGGAAGGAGATTGAGTATTCAAGCGATGAGTAATGTATAAGCATTTTAATCTTTAATTAAAATACATGTTTTCATCATTTCATTCATAATCAATCGTTCATTTCTTAAAAGAAGTATGATATCCAAGGAGAGGTATCATAGACAAGCCATTATTAAAAATAATTGACTGCTCGAGTTTTCGTAGTTACTCTTAGACAAGTATGTTTTTATTTAATAATGTCTATCGGTTAAAATAAGTAATAAAAATATTGATTCAATAGATTTAAATGTAAAAGTATAGTTGAATTCATTTATTTATTAGCATTCTACGAAAAAATGAACAAATTTTTTCATTCAATAATAAACTAAAATCATATTGAGAACTAAATATTATAAATGACAATCACGAGATAGATCAAGTTACTATTAAAGATGTAATACTTCGAAACAACAGCATCAAATGATAAAAAAAAAGCGATTGAATAGTTCATCTTCGCTGTATTTTCCGAATAAGTTTTTGTTGTGAATGAATTTTAAATAATTCATATAAGATTAACCAAAACAATATTCTTGCTAATAAAGATTTTTTATTAACAATTTCATTCACATTATTTAAAATCATATTCTAAAATAATAAATAGGTGAATAAACCACACAAACTCTATCAATGGAATAGAATGCAATATCCATTGTCTTCCTTTATGTGCACGTAACCATAGAGCATTTAATAGTAGAAAATGACGTTGAATACTCGCAATAGCTCTAAGAAAAAGGCCCATTACTAATGTACTATGATCAATTCAATATTACTAAAGGCAAACTGAGAATGTTTCTTGGCTGATGTTTTCAAGATGATCAAGAATTGTGTCAAGATATTAGATAAATAATACAAAGAAAAATTAACATGATTATAAAATATTTTTTTTATGTGTTAATGTTGATAAGAAAATGTATAAGCTAAGATGGAGTCATCCATGAAGAACACCCAGGAAAAGGAAGAGAGTGAGTAAAAGCCGAATATTTTTAGTCAGTCAGAGGGGATAAATTAGACGAATATGGATGTCTGAGCACTTATGATCAATTTTTTTGTCGTTTTTTTAAAGCATTTTCAAACCAACAACTTCTCACACTTTGATGAATCACCATCTACGAATAAGCCACGTAGATAAAAGGTATATTAGTCGTCGAATATAAAAACAAATAGTAGATTTTATCAAATGGGCTCTTGCTAAAATAAATTTTGTAAACTTGATGTTCAGGAGAGGAGGAGCAGTCAAAACCAGATATTAGCGAATAGTAGGAGAGAGGAGTGAAAATATGCGATTTTTTACATGAATGTCTTTTATAGTTTTCATCTATCACATTTTGTTACATAGAGATGTCTCATCAGAGATATCTGTTTGATACTTAATTTAAATCTAGAATACTTAACATTAGGTTAGATATTTCTCCTTGTTTTATTGCGTAATCAATATACAAAAAAACAAAATCGTGAACAAAATATTAAAAAAAAACAGAACTACAATCAATTGATATAGTTTATCAATGAATTAATCGAAGAGTAGAAGAATCAATTGATATTCAAAATGAAAAATTTCGATTAACAATATATTTAAGATTTTGTTGAACCATTTCTTAACTGATTTAATTGTCTGTGATAATTATATCTTAAATTTCGTTCAAATGGAGTTCCTGGTCCACACATTTGATGCATTATTTCAAGTGAATTTGGAATTGATTCATCTAATGTTCCATCATTCCATGGTATTTTTTTATATGGTTCAACTAAAAGTGTTTTTAATTCAATATGTTGTTTTTGTCGTTGACGATCATTTTTTGTTTTAAGCATACGCATTGTTGAACGACTACTAGTAGTACTTCTTGCACGTGCTCCTTTGAAAGACGAGAATGATTCTCCAGTTAATTGTTCATGAAGACTACTCGTTGTATTCATATCATTTGATAATGATGATTTTGATGCTAGAGATTTTCGTTGTTGACGATAAGTATGATTTGCATGAGCACTAACAACATTTCGTTTTGATGAAGAAATTGATAAAGGACTAGAACTGCGATTATCATTTGCCGTCAAGAAAGAATTTTCACGAGTAATTGCTGATTGTCGAAGTTGAGTGATTATTGGAGATGAATATTTTGTACCGAAATTAATTTGAGCTAGTTTTTTCACTTGATTATCACCATTAGCTCGCAGAGGGATAGTCTGAAAATATTAAAGAAAAGAAATAGAATAATTAAAGAGATTTTTAGTTTATTCATGAATCAATACATCTTCTTTTTGTTTACAAAATGTGACCCTAGAAATAATGCATAAGAGATTTTCGTCTACATTGAGATTCTCAATAAGTAAAGGTCAACTTGTCTATTTTTAGTTTTGAAAAATTCAAATAAAAGAAAAACTAATTATATTGCTTTTGAAAACAAATTTATATTCATACCTTAGAAATTCAAAGAAAAACATATATTGATTAGAGTTTCTGCAAAAATATATACCTGGTTTGATAAAACAGGATGCTTGCTTTTATATTGTTGTTCTATAAATGACTCTACATAACTAGAATGATGTTTTGTAGGTTCTTTTGAATCATGAGAGAAATTTGTTGATGATGCTTGATACTCTTCTGTAGTTGATAATGCATCTCGATGATTTTGTGTATCATCAATAACTGTTGATTCCTGATTTGCAGGTTTTTCTTTTGATGGATTAGCAGCTGATTTTCTTATATCATGAATTTCATTAAGTAATACTTCATCTTCTAATTTAAGAGTATTTATATCAATACGACTCATTACATTTAATTTTCCCGATAAAGGTTTATGTGTTCGTTGTTGAGTCATCATTAACATATCCGTCCAATGTACATAAATTGGTGAATATGTTACTATACGATTCCATTGTTCTTCACCAAATGGACTTAATTGAACAGTTGATATAGAACCCTGATGTGGCTTACAATTAGTCATAATTATTTATTTGAAATTTTCAATATATTTATTGAAAAAAAAAACAGAAAATTATTAATTGTTGGTCGACAACGACGTTGCTATTGCAGCTGTAAAATTAACACTTCACTGTCTCTCGAAACTATACCACTTGGATAGAGAGAAAAAATTCTTTTACGCTGTTGTCAGCTTTCTCTCTTTCTTTTTTACTTTCGTACCTGCTTTTAAATAACTATTCGAAACAATTGATGTGGCAACATATAATGCACATGGGCTTGAATAAAAAGCAAGAGAGAACAAAGAAAAAAGAATGTAAATTTTTTTAAAACTTATATTCATAGTTCGATAGTAAATTATTAGAAATTCTTTTACGAAATAATCAATTTAACAAAATTCAGGTGTTTGTTTGCTCTTATGTAGATTGTAGAAGAGAATAAGTATTAAAAAAAAATATTAATATAATACTACTTATAAATAATAGAATAATATTATCGTTTTTTATCTACAGTTTGAAAAAAAAGTTTGTTTAAATAAATAAATAAATAAATAAATGTTTTAGCAGATAGTAATATATAGACGTGATTCACAAATTGTTGTTGTACTTGAAAAATTCATTAGAGATGAAGAACAAATTGTTTATTGACAATTTCAAACAATCGTCATCAATATTAATCATCAAGTGATGTAGTTATATGAGAAACAATTGCGAATTGCTTTATAACCGAAGGCTTAAAGTAAATGAGCCACTTTTCAGTCGACATTTTGAATTAGAGTTCTATAAAGTCAAACTTTTCGGTTCTGGCTGCGGGGAAACTTTTAAATGTTTCTTTTTTTTTGGCTTCTATATATATATTTCTTTAAATGGTTAATGAATCTATAAGGTAGTGTATATTTGTTTATTACTTAACAAATGAAGCATAAAATTGTTACTATGTAAGAGTAAAAGTACTTGACTATTTTGCTGATGTGACTCCGACATTGACTCAGAAAAAAATTCTTTACGAACTCTCCGACTCCTACGCTATCGGCGCCAGGTTTCGAAGTTCAATGAAGAGCGTTAATTTGAATATAAGATCCTATACTTTTCCTTTCGATACATGTACGATCGTTGAAAAGAAACTGTTAGCATTTAAACAACTATAAGCTCAAAAATTGGCAATTTTTCAGTCTATTTACATAGTTAGATAAGCATGTCAAAATTTTTTAAAAGAGAATACATTTTTAGCTTAATGTTTAGATTAAACTAGAACTATTGTTTTCTCGGCAAAAGCTCAAGTTGATGAAGTAAAGAGCTACGAGTCGTTCTAGGATTGAATTGAATTCTAGTTCAAAATTTTAATTTTTGTCTGGTCCATGTCCACATTCAAATTTAACTTCATATCTGATTTGTATTCAACTCCGAGTCTGACTAGAAAAAGCTGACGTCAACTTACTCAGATACAGCCTGTCGGTTATAATTCAACTTTAGATTGATTATTTTCTAAGAGAAGACCATACAGAGCTAAAATCTTGATCGTTCATTTGGTTATGTGTACAGAGGACGCTAGATATTGATGACAAAAAACTCGAGTATAGTCCCGGTGGAATTCAAAAAAAAAATGTGACTCTGCAGCCTCGGCAGCTGCTTAATATAAGATGTCATCGTTCTTTCTGTAGTTGTTTTATATAATTGTTGTTTATTTCAGCTGTTAACAATAATTTTTGATATCTATTTTGCGCGCTTGAAAAAAAATTATTTTAGACCAGCTTATGTCTAAGAAAAGAAAACTTGATCTCTTTTGAGATTCCATCACAGCAAAAAGGTTATCGCTGTCATTATAGTGATAAAAATATGTTGCGAATGTGAAGAACATTCTCTATACTGAGATAGCATTGCTGTCACAATCGACAAGATTCACTTAGTCTTGGTGTATTATATTTTGTAAACATTTACATGTTTTTTTTTCTATCTTTAAAAAGATGAGAATTACATGGTTAGTGAATTCAAAATCCAAGTCTTTTTTTGTTTTGTTTTTGTTCTTAATATCCTAACATATCGCATTTATTCAAATGATAATTATTCATGTGTCATAAATTTTTCTATTTGTTTTTTTTTCTTATTTAAATCGTGGAACATGTACAAAATGAAAAGTCACATCAAATGCCACGCATAAAACTACAAAACACATAGCATGTTACACACGACTGACAAACACAAAATTTAAAAAAAAAAGAAAGAAAAAACAAAACAATAATGATAACACTGTGAAATTGAGAGAAAGAAAAACCAACGAGAGAGAAGATATAATCATATTTTGTTCATTTTGAATTTCAATAAAATGCTCACTGTGTGAAATCTACATCTATGATATTATTATGTTGCACTATCGTTTTTTAATTTCATCTTGTTGTATTTGATGTGCTGAATTACTTCGATTACCTATTTTAAGAAGAAATGGTGCAGGTTGATGTTGTTGTACAGCTGTTCTTGGTGTTGGTAGTTGTGTTGGAAAATCATCTTCATTTTGATTTAATTCTTTTCGTCGTGTAACACCTGTTGTTGATGACGTTGATGTATCAAGTGCACTTGTTGTTGATGTTGCCATAGATTTGCGTAATTCTCTTGTTTTATGTTTATAAAAATATAAATCTCTTTCAAGATCTTTCATTTGAGTTGATGATTCTTGTAATTGTCCAAGTAATAATTGTTTTTCTTCTTCATGTGCTTGTTGAATAGATGTTAAACGACGATCATGATCAAGTGTTAATGTTTGAATACGTGATTGTAATTCAGTTATTATTTCAGTTTGTTCAAGTAATTGAGACTAGAAAAATAAAATAAGAAAAATAAAAACGAAAAAAAAAAAATTCATAGAAAATATTCATACTTTTATTTCGTCAAATTCACGACGATTTTTATTATCTTCTTCTTTAAGATCAATGACTTTTTCAAATAATTTACGACAAAGTTCTTTAGATTCATTTTCACTTAATTGTCCTATTTTAAAAAGAGGAGAATCCGAACCCTAAAAAGGAAAAGAATAGAAAAATATAATTAATTGATTGTTTAAAATAGTATAATCTAAAACAAAAGTTTTCTCTATTGAACTATATTTAAAAAATAGAATTGAAATATTCGACAAAAATCTTAATAGTTAAATTTAATCGACAGCGATATTCTTTTTTGTTTACGAATATAACATGAAAGCTATCTTAGTGGACATATGATATTTTGAGGATTCGTATATTACAGCAGATCTGATTCTGTTAACAGTAAATTATAGAGAATAGCCCAAATACCCTATTGCAAACATACCTATTACATGTATATTGCAGAAATGCAGAATCACTAGAATATTTAAAAATGGTGTAAACCCAAGGGAGAAAAAGCAGATTTTCAGATTTTAAAAGATTTTGAAAAATTTTGGACGCAAAAATCTGCTTTTTCTTCCTTGTGTAAATCTCATTCATTGATACTGGATTTTGTTAAATCTCAGATTTCAACACAGTTAGAATTTCTGTCATTTATACTTAAACATAGTATCTTGATGCTTATTTTGAGTAATTTCTATTGTTGTATCAATCTAACACATAAATGGTAACATTCTTTCAAAAATTGGCTCCGCTCCTGAGATTTATAGTGTTTGTTTAGCACACTATATGATTGTTCTTTATCTGTTGAATTTTAAAAATGACTCTCCGAAAACAAAAATCTACATAAGATATTGAATGCTTTTACACTTATTAGTGTAATAGATTAAACTTTAGTACTGAACACGTATCTGCAGTGTACTAGGAGCAGGATATCGCCACTCTGAAGTCAGTAATTCTGTTAGAGTAGTAATCCATCATCGAAAAACACGACCTAAGGGTGTTGAAATGTATAGGGCAGGAATTAATATTCTGCCCGTCACAGACTGACAGACGTTGTTGATATATGATCATAGATTGTATATCGATAACGACTCGCTACAAAATACTAACTACTTCCTTATTGTATTTCTGGAGGATTAAGCAAAAGAAGGATCAAAGAAATTTGTCTCAAGGTAGACAAAATAAAATAATCTCTCTGTAATTAGCATCAATCGCTACATTATGTTTCAGATTTTAATCTCGCAGGCATTGTACTAACAGTTTTTTAATATAATAATTATTTTCTATTCTCTTGTTTCTTAAGTGCATATATGAACATAAAACTTTATTCAAAATAATTTAATTTTAGTGATAAATTACTATGGTTGATAAAAATTTAATCATATTTAGTTGTTCTATGACAAATACAAGTTGATTAATATTAATTTTTCCGAAATCAACTTTCATGAACATTTTTCGTCATTTTATATGCTCGAATGAGGTGTTCATACCTGACTTGCTCGAATAGATTGTTGAACATCACGTTCTCGTTTATTAATAATATTATTTTGATAATCAATAGCTAAATCAATAGCTTCAATAGCTTCATCAATTTCAATTAAACGTCTTTCTTCTGATGGTGTTAATACACTATCTTGTTGTTCTAAACGTTCAGTAAATAAACGTTTTTGTTTAAGTAATTGTTCACGTATCATTTGATGATTTGGTTGTTGTTTATCAACAGTTTTTAATTTTTCATTAACTGATTTTAAACTCTAAATTAATTATATTCATTGATTAAATTTCAAAAATACATTAAATATAAAATTAAACCTTATTTAATACTTGACTTGTACGCATTTTTTTTGTTTCAAGTTCTGTACGTTCATTAAGTAATAATTCTCGTTTTTGAATAAGTTCTTCACGTTTTTGAACATCATCTCTTAATGTTTCTAATTCTTTTCTTTCCGCCACTAATTTTTCCATTTCAACTTCAAAATTTGATGTTGTGGTCATCGTTGTTGTTGTTCCGTCATTGATATTTCCATTAGGAGCACCACGTAATTTTCGTTGTGCAGCTACAAGACCTTCAGTTTTTAATTTTAAAATTTTTTGTTGCTGTTCATTTTGAATTGTTAATTCTTGTATACGTTGTTGTTCACGTACAAGATCTTGTTCAAATTTATTTTTTAATTCCGTTTCTTCACGTATACGTTTTTGAGCTGTTTCATGTTGTTGTTTCATACGAAAGAGAGCCGCTTGAAGATCAGCAATTCTAAATAAACAAAATCGGAATATAAGAAGATTTCTATTCAGGTTCAGTGAATCAAAACAAAATAATTGAAAACAGGGATTGAGCAGATTAGATCCTATCAGAAAAATTGTTTGAACAGTTGAGTTCAGTTCTGAACTTGTCGAGTTGTACCAGAGAAAAATAAATATGACTTTATCAGATTTATCATTAAAAAAAAAGGAGTCTTCAATTTCTATTCTAGAGAGATAATCAATAAAATTATATGCATTATAGAGACTAATTTAGATGGAGTGAGAAAAAATAATCTTGTTAAGATTTTGATGTGTAAAAATGCATGAAGATTCGTCAACGAACGATTAAAACAATTGTATTTATTTGATTTAAAGCATATCTGACAATGAAAACAGTGATCCGAGACACTCAATGTTATTTACTTAGATATTCCACTGTTGAAATCATATAAAAGAAAAGTGTTCATTGATTTGTGTACTTTATATTAGACAAGTTCGAAATATCCTGTGTTTTTATGGAAAGTTTCATTCGAACTAATTTCTAAATTTTGAGTGATTTTAAAAATTGACTCAAGAAGAACTTTTCTTAACGGTTGACCGTAGAAATAGATGAAGAAAAGACTAGAACCCACACCCCAGTCAGACAAAAATTTTGAAAAACGCGTTTAAACGTACAATCTGGAACCGCGATTGTAAGCCATTAACGCTCATTAAAAAAACGCATGAAAACGCGTTTGTTGGCGTTTTTTGTAACTTCATGGGCGTTAAAACGGCGACAATTCCCGTTTTTGAGCGTTAAAACGCACTATTATTCTAGAACTTAAAAATAATACGTTTTAACGCTCCAAAATTGGAGTTTTCGCCGTTTTAACGCCCATAAAGTTACAAAAAACGCCAACAAACGCGTTTTCGTGCGTTCTTTTAATGAGCGTTAATGGCTTACAATCGCGGTTCCCGATTGTGCGTTTAAACGCGTTTTTCAAAATTTTTGTCTGACTGGGACCAGAGTTGCAGAAACTGCGGCTAAAATGAAAAATTTTCCCAAACGGAAATAGATTCTTGAATAAAGTTTCTCTAGTATAGAAATAAAAGAAAAGCCGGAATCTCATCTTGACTTACACATTCGAAGAAAGTGAAAGAAAAATCTATTTACTCATCATATGAAAAAGGCCATCTGAAAAACTAATCTTTATTGACCGTCTATTAATAGGAGCAGTTCTCATCCCACAAAACAATTGATTGTTTAGTTAAATAAATGAAGCTGTGAATGAAGTTCATACTGTTATTACTATACGAGAAAAGTTTCTTTACTCAAATTTCTCGATTGAAAAACATTACTTACAGTCAATCGTTTTCCGAAACCTACATCCTTTATGTCAAAGATAACGAATGCCTTGTAAGTTATAAAATGCACAGATCAAAAAGTTTTTGTCTTAGTATTGCGCTAAAACGAGGAAAGTAATTACCTCTTTTCGCTATTGCCTGATAATTTATTCATGAGTTCTCGATATTGTTTTTCTTTTTGTTGTAATGATTCAAGACGAGCTTTAGCCATATCGCATTTTTTTCGATATTCACTATATTGAAATTATTGATATAATATTATATAAATAACGATTATATTATATAATACTACCTTTCTAATTTAGATTTTTCACTTGTATTTTTCGTTGCTATTTGTTGCATTGTTTTTTGTAAATCCTGATATTCATGTTTAGCTTTATCTACTTCCTAAAGAATAAATTATAAAATTTTTACTTTTTATTTATCCTTTATTCTTTTTTTAAAATACTTACTTTTTCTAACGTTTTAATATGTTGTTCGTATTGTTCATTTGTGTCTTTGACATCTTTAGTTGATGCATAAACACTTTTTATTAATTGTTCTTTTAATCTAATAAATATTCAAATGACAAAAAAGAAAAATTATTAAATAAAAGAAAAAAAAAAAAAGAATTCTTACTGAATATTAATACTAAGATCTTGTGCTTTACTTTCAGCTTCTTTAACTTTTCGCGTTACTTCTTCAATTAATCTTTGTTTATTTATTGTTGATTCTGTTAATGTTTGTAATGCTTCATCTGGTTGAAAAATATTTGGTGTCAATCGATTTTTGCGAAGACGATATGTGCCACGTCGAACAAATTTTCTAGTTAAGAGAAGACAGAAATAACAGTGTCAAATATTAAAATATAAGATATGAAAGATCTGCATTTATTTTAAACAAGAACGTTTTAAATGTTAATTCTGTTATTATACATACAAACAGATGATAAACAACAGATCATCTTACAATACTCTTTCTTTCACATGACAAATCGTAATAGATAGAAATGTCAGTAATATGATGTGAGGGATCATACTTCTAAAGTATGATTCTCGTTACATTAGACTGGAATCTGTTACATTTAACTGAAAATTATGTCAAAGAGCTCGTAGCATTTCAATAAATCTCGAGTACTAATAAACTACGCAAACATTGCCAAAGGAAAGTAAACATAGATCTGATTCTACCCAACACATAGAGTTCCATGAGTTATGCTCATGAACACCGGATTCAGATAAATCTTGAAGAAGATTTTGATCATTCAATTTATTTTAATACATATAAATACCCAGAAGGATAATCATAAAAGTCTATGAACATCGTTGATTTGATCAATTCTCTGAATAATGATGCTCACGATTCTATTTTCTCTTGAAAATAAATACTTTCAAAAGAAGTCATTTTCTTTCAGATTTGGAAGTATTTGTATTCAAGATAAAATACAGTCTGAAGCATTATTTCTCAGAAAATGATCAAATTACCAATATTCATAGATTTTTGCAGACACTCTTGCAGTATTCTTAGCTGTTCACATAATTCAGTCTTACTCATAAATCTCAACAAAAAAAAAATAATAATTCCAATATTTCTTCTATCTTTGTATCTTGACATTTTTTGATTGTAGATCACTTATACAGAAGTGCTATTTATCGGTAATTATATCTCAGAGACCTATTCTAATGATCGATGGACCAGAATGAAGTCAAATTGTGTCTCTATCAGAGATAGAATCAGTCGAGATTTTTTTGTCGATCACTTTCGCTTTTATCTCTGCTTAATACAGATTTCAAGAAAGAAATCATAGATAGAACTAACACTGTATCTTGTGAATAAATGTTTGAATCTTTCGAAACAACAATTAATTATCTATAAAAATGTATTTAATTGAAAATCTTCTTATTTTTTTCAAATAGATCAATTAAACTTGAACTTTCATCTATTTACAATTGAATTACCTTTCATCGTTTATTTTTTCATTACTATCTCTTAAATCTAATTCTTCAATTTCTTCTTGTGAATGAGCTAAAGCAAGTGATCGTCCATGAAATCTTTCAACAACATAATCCATATCAAATACAGCTGGACTAGAATGTATTGTACGAGGTTGAATTGATTGGTCCTATGAAATAAAATTCAAAAATTCACAGTGTCTTGTGCTAGTAAATATATCTTTTTTTGGTTTTTTTTTCAGTGCAATATCAGGTGAAAAACAAAATGTTTTCTAGTTAGGAAAGCAGTTTCTATATACTTGCAGATATTGTTTGAAAAGTAACTGAAAAATAATTGGTCTTCACCTGAATAAGAATACTCGTAAATTTTCTTTACCTTTCTATGAACACCACCAAAATGTGGTGCTGATTTCGTTCGATCTGGTAAAGATTTTTTTGTGGTTATAGTTGTTGAAAGATTTCATGGACGATCACTNAGTTCACGAAATAAAATAATTGCCGAAAGTAGAGTTTCTTTACTATGATCAATTAGTTGCCTAATATTTTTTGATAAGATGTCTGATAATTGCCAAAACTGCACTATTGGCTATTGCCAAAGATCCCTCCTGTTTACAGCCGAAAATCCTACAAAAACACAACTTTTGGCAATTGCAGAAAGTCAAGTGCGAAAGTCAGTACGGCGAAATTCGCGTTTCCCAAATATTTAAATAAATCAAAAATGTAATTTGCATGAAGTAAAACAGACTTTCTTCAATTATTCATAATTTCTCTGAATGAGACTTTAGAATAGTTTTGACTTTCTACTCTTGCAAAGAATTTAAGTTTCTACTAAATTATATATTAGAGTAAGCTAGAATCCAAAAAGAGGCGACCTCTATGTATAGTATTCGAACAATTGCTCTTTAAGTTAAGTAAGACACCATTTTTCGAAACAACACAGTTCTTTTGAATTTTGCTGTTTGAAATGTAATAGATTTCGATTATTTATAGACATATCTAAAAAGAGAAACGAATTAGGTATTTTCTACAGCAATCCTCGCTCTAAAACCTGATGTATAAAAAGAAAAAACTTTCCAATAGTTTGGATTGAGATAGATTTTATCAAAATACAAAACTAAAATACATGAAATATTTTGTATAGGTGTCGATTTTGGTCTCCGTCAAACTGTTTGTTCTCCATGAATTAACTTTAAGCTAGAAGAAAACTCTGATTCTAGCTGGTTGCTCATGATTCTCTCTTGTAACTGACAAGTAGACAAAAAACGTTTAGACATGTTGTGCAAAGATTTTTTACATGCAGATTATTATTCATATATTAATTGATATTGAGTGGGTGATGTATTGTCATACTGGAAGAGTTTGATGGTATCATTGGTCACATAGATTTGCTTTTAAAATATTAAAAAATATATTATTTGTTTCAGACAAGATTCTAATGAATATCATATTTTTTATGATAACCATTCCAATGATTTTGATTTTCAAAGATAACCTCTAATAGAATTCAACGTCAATAATCAAAGAAATATTTCCAAGGAAAAAATGTCTATTATATCAAGGAAACATTGTTTTCGTGCATGTCACAGTTTAACATCGGAATAAATTCGTTGTATAAGTAGTTGCAAAAAAAAACTCTATGCTATGTGTACACATAGAAATTGATGAAAGCTTGGACTATTATCAGTGTTGACTCTAAATGAAAATATGTTGTCAATGTTTGGCATGTCAGACAAGAATATGTATACATTTGCTTATTGATCATGACACTTAATTTTCCGAAACTACACTTTAATAGTGGATTAATAAATCATCTTTGTATTATGATACTATAAAATAGGTGATATAATGTTACTTTTTGAACTATATTTAACTTTCTGTGAAGAGAATTGTTCTTAGATATCTAACAACCGAATATTTTATACAATCAATCATTGATAAAGTAGAGTTTCTTCAAAATTAATTCTTATACTGATCTTTACTTAATAATAGAACTAAACAAGAATCCTTATGTTACTCTTATTTTTTTTTTTTACATACAAGATAACTAATCGAATTACATATAGATAACATCATCTAAGAATAACTAGCAGGCAATTGATTGCATTCAATCGTCATTTTATTGCATTAGATTTTGTTAATATTATAATAATAATACTCGTACAATGTCTACATGGTCATCACACTAATCATAACATGCGGTAGTATATCGACCTTCTGCTCAATATGATTTATGTTTGTATCAATCAAAGAGAAAAGAATTAAGTGATGCAAAACGATATTCATATTAGAATATAGATCAATGAACAACGATTTGTGATATTCAATTCTTTTGAACTTTTCATCAATGTACATATCACCTGTTTTGATAGTCTACTACTTAGTAGATATATTGACAAGCAAAAATTTATAATCGAAGAAATTGATATTTTATCATTCATGCTGTTTTGTGGAATGTAATTAATAATATCATATATAAATTAACAAGTGTATGAAAAACTCATTATTTAGAATTCTATCAATTACATATAATACTCTTAATTGCTTGTCTTAAAAAAGTTTAATTGTATTTTCATATAATATTGTGCACTGTTATATTACACATATCTCTAATTTCATTGTTATATATCTATGACAATTCTTTGTTTCTATGAACCTATATAATCATACTTGAATATTAAATTAGTCAATATGATAATCAAATGATGTCGATACTAAATCAATTTTTTTTTCGGTAGAATTTCTTATTTTTCGCATGTGAAAAATGTAAGTTTTTAGTATTTTAATAAAAATAATTAGTCATCGACTATTTATTTTGTATTCTTCATTTTAATAAAAACATGTATGATTACGTATTTCAATCCTTTCTAACATTTTACATTAGTGATTAAGTTCGACGTTTTAAAGGATTAAATAAAAGAAACAATGTGCAAATATTTTATCGAATACTCTCTTAAGATAATCCCTTACGATTAATACCAACTAGAGTACAATTATAAAACGAATATGTTAATGATTCATTGATCTGATTATCTATGGGACATTCTTCTTAAAAATATGTTTATAACCATGTAGTTTTTTTGTCTTTCTAATTCAAACATTTGGACAACAATGATGATTGATTGAAGGTCACATGCCAGTTAATACTTGAAACCATGTTTTATGGTCCTCTATTATTGTACAACATAGCCTATGTTGTATCCTATGATAAGAGAGTATAATGTTGTATTTCTTATCTTCGTAGTTAGTCGGTTGATCGAGTGTCATAGACAAAGTGTTTGTGTCAATTGACCTTTAGGTATACAAATGGTATAAGGTAATACAAAGAAATAAGAAACTGACAAATTGCCAATTTTGTACGTTATTTTTGCTTACTTATTGAAGACAAATTGAGGGTCACACATCTCAGTATCATTGTCAAGGATATATTTGTACAAGAATAACCAAGGATGGTTTCACCAATGTCATAACATGTTGTATTACATGCACAATTTTATAGACATTGGTGTATTGAACATATAAATAGCTATCGAATTTCTACTATAAAACATACAAAAAGAAAAAAAAAACATCATCATTTTGTTTGATCGTTTATAAAAACACAATCAATTTTTCTGTATAAATTCTCTTGATGTTGAGATGTGATACAAGGTTATTATAAAATTGATTTTTACTTAAATCGACGTCTTTCGTCTTTTTTTCTCTCTTTCTCTCTATCGCTTATATTTGTATGTCTTTTACAGATACCTGACACTTGAAATGTACGTACATACACATGTATGTGTGATTTCAACCTTCTTTGAAAGAAGAAATGAAGATTTTTTTTCTTTCAAGAATGTTTTCTGTTTGTCAACCTATAACAACGAAAATTTTTTAAGTGCTTCTTATGCAACCATAATGCCTGCTGAGCAAGCATATTTTACTACTAATCGTATCCAGCATCATGTCGTCGCCGGCAGTTGATCTGTTTAGAGACAGATTAATATGGAACGCCTTACTCTTTATTCCGTGTTTATTTAATAAACTCTACTCTTCATCTTTTGTCGTCTGCACATTGTGCTGATTGAATCTCTCGTTCGCCACTCCCTCTCTCGTTCTCGGAGAAACTAGATATTGCATCATCGTTCATTCACGATAAAATCAAGTGAAGGTCAATCGTAAAAGGCGGAGTTCAGATTATAATAAACGATTAGTAAAGACGTGCACAAACAAAAACAAACTGAAGCTTCTACCGTACATTCATATAATACCTAAACGATAGGCTATTGTGGCTCGCCACTCTCTCGTTTATATGGTAGTGATTATATTATTCTGCGTCCTGTATGCGTAAACGTCTTGCTTTCTGTGTACAGAGAACAGGGGAATGAAGAGAGTGATGGCAGAACGGAATAGATGGTGGCCATAGCGCTATCGACTTTTTTTCTCTCTTTTCGCTCTAATCGAGACACCGATTTCACCCTTGCATATGTGTGTATATGTTACATAGAAAGTTATTGTTCGAATTATTGCTACGATATTAACAGTCGGTGAGTCAATTTTTCTTTTTTTTTGTTTGATCGGTCCTCTTTTCTTTTCTCTTTCTAAAACTGAACACAATGACCATGTTAATCGGAACAACTCTTCTTCAGAGAATTAAGAAATACGAGAAAATAGCCTTGCCGCTTTGCACATAATGAAATTTACATAACCATCACCATTCTCTATTCTAATCGGTAACGATCAAACACTATACACTATTCTAAACATAGTTTTATTCTTTTTTTTTGCCTCTCTCGTTTTCTTATGCTACAAAATCATGATAGGATGTCCTTCATCGATTATCTTTTAAGATCAAATATCATTTTTAAATATTTTGTATTGAGTAAGATAATATATAAACACTTGCAAGATGTTCAAGAGAGAAGATGGTAAAGTTAGAGAGAACAAGAAAGCCAATTTATTGTTTATATATATATAGAATAACAAATTTTTGATTTATTTTCATATAAATATATCTGTATAGTCTAAGCAATGCGAGACTAATATCCATAAGAGTTATTATTCTTTTGTCACATTCAATTTGTTATGGAGTACATACTTATGACAACAGAAGGATACAATAAAAGATATCATAATTAAATTG